GGTTTGTCGATTCTCAGTTGCTTGTTGTTCTTCAACAAACTAGAAGCTTTATACATTGTATCTTTCATTTTTATTTTATTATTATTATTATTATATTATTATGTATATTGTTTCAAAACAAATCTATTGACACTAGTATCTATATTTATTAATGAAAACTTGCCAATTCACATGATCTATTAAAGCTTATCATTAGGAAATTCATGAGACTCTAAGACCAAATATATTTACTCATTCTTTATTTCTGCAGTTCGTTGTTGAATTTGTTTTTTCACAATGAATTTAATGAACCTAGTAGTAAAAGAAGTAAGAGACTGATTCGTATTTATAAGGATTGTTTTGATGAATGTTATAATATTTTTTTCAAAAATATCAAGGATACTTTTTCCAGAGCAAGGTTATTGCATTGTGAATTAGGAAAAATTCCCGTCTTAGAAATCCAGGTGATAGGAGAACGTATATTTGTTTCTATGTTAGATTTATTTGAAGGTGTTTTTTACTGGGTTTATTGAACTTGCGAGATTATTATATCTTTACGAATTTCCACGTGTCAGGTTGTTGAGGAATTTTTAAGGGGTAATCTCAAATTAAGGTAAAGAGATTGTCAAATGTCGGTAGTATAAAAGATGAGATCAATCTTCTACCAAAATGTGGGAAGCGAACTCCATCAACATCGATGATATCAACGACATATTATCCACCAAGAAATTCTTAAATCAGAAAAAAATTCCAAAAATGTGTTTTTATCCCGTAATTTATATTTATTTTTATTTTTATATAATAAAGTTGGCCCTGGTGGCTCAATTTCATATAAATAATCAGTTTACTTTTGCGTGTATATTTCATGAATTTATTTTATTGTATTGTTATCGATGTATATATTATGATTGAGAATTGTTATAAATTGGAATGGACACATAATATTTTTATTTTGAATATATCCGCATTTTATGTAAAACAATGGCAGATTCACAAACTACAATTGTTTCGTTAAGAGAATTAAATTCGAAACTTACACTTGAGATTGCCGAACTTAGAAAGAAATATGCTAAGGTTGAGGCAGAGAATATAATATTAAAGCAGATTATGGAAGAGAATACCGAATTTAAGACTAGATTCTAAGAACAAGATAGGAAAAATAAAACAAATATCGCAAACCTTATAAACGAGAATACCGAACTCAAATCTAGGGTTTCGAAATTGAAACAAAAGTTATCACAAAATGACGAAGAAAAAGGCGACCTTATTGCTAAATTAGGTGATGATACTGCATCTTACAAAACGAATTCTGATAATACCCCTGAACAGATAGAAAATATATCTGATAATATTTCTAATTCTGATATATATCAAGAGTCGAATATTCAATACCCTGAACCACTTATTCATACGGAGTTTGAATCTTGTAAAGATAAAGAGATCGAATTCCTAGATCATGTACATAAAGAAACTATTAGCACTGAGATAAGAGAGAGAAATAGGGAAAAAAAGCTATTACAGACTAACAACACTTCTATTTCTCAATCTGAGAATTTATCTTCAGTTAATGCATCCAAGTTACCAGCTGATCTTGAAATATATCCATCAAACCATGATCAGAATTCAGAATCAACTATACTTAATAACTCTAATAATAAAGTTATTATTAATTTGGATAAAAATCTAATTATGGAACAGGAATTAAAACAACAACTGTTAGCATCTATACCTACTCCCATAATCTCAGATCAGCTTCAGGATCGAGACTCATCTTCAGTTACAGCGGAAAGCATAGTTTACGCATTTTATAAGGCAATTCAATCGGGACAAGAAGGGATACTTTACTGGTATTATTTTATCGAAAAATATGACAAAAAAATTGATGAGATTGTTATTAGTGGAATTAAAAGAAAAACTGCAACATCTATGGTATATCAAGAAATAAAACTGCTTTTACCTAATATTACTAATGTTAATTTGCGTCAAAAAATCCTTAGAGCTAGAAAATTATATAAATTATTTAACACATTAGGAATAGAAAAAATTAAACTAGTTTCTTATAGTGCAGATGCTATCTCAAGTCTCAGCTACCAACAAATCCAAAATATTATAGATCATGTGACAGAAAACCATGAAGATTTTCTTCACGATCAGAGTCATGTGACTGAAAACTGTGAAGATTTTCTTCACGATCAGAGTCATGTGACTGAAAACCATGAAGATTTTCTTCATGATCAGAGTCATGCGACTTCAAAAATTCATCTGACTAATACATATATTCTTCTAAAAACACCTCAATCTAAGCCAACTTATGATCGATCCTATTTTCATAGCAAAACATTAGATTAATATCCTAATTTATATCGAGAAGGTAGTGATGGAAATGACGATTATTATGGAATTAGTGATGAATCTTTATGCCCGCTATGTAAGTTAGATCATGATGATGAAAATGGTATAGAAGGCAGATATGAAATTAGATTTTATAATCTTAAATGTGAACAACGTGGAATTAAAATTAAGGTAATAGCATAAACTTGATTTTATACTAAAACAATTTCACTTAGGCCTTTTAGTATATCTCTCTGAGACATATTTATTTTTGTCAGCTATTGTTAATTTAAAGAGATAAAAACCATATAAAACAATAACATAAATACACAAGCAAAAGTCAATAAAACATTAACCCCTGAATATTTGGAGTAGGAGGCTAAATTAACAGAATTGCCAAGTATTTTGACAGATAAAATTTTGCATCAAGTCCTCCGATTTAATCTCATAACCCCATTTACGCCATCCATCCTAATATACCTTTTTTGGCTCTACTTCAGTAATCTTTACCAATTGCCAGCATTTAAAGCATATAGCTATTTGGGATCTTTGCTATGAAAATGACCCTCTGAGGCTATGTTGATTTTGTGAATACAAATTAAATTTGCTAGCCATCTAGTAATCCAATTTAAATAAACTTTTTTTTAATTTGTAAATCTCAATAGAATCTACAAATTAAAAAAAAATTTATTCAAATCGGATAACTAGATGACTAGTAAAGTTAAATTTTATTCACAAAATCAATATAGCCTTGGAGGGTCATTTTTATAGCAAAGATCCTATTTGACTTTTATGAACTTTAGGTCTTCGATAGCTGATATGCTCTATTTTTGACCTGTGATTTTTGAGGTACGTCCTAATGTTTCCCTGTCCAAATAAATCAAAAAGGCAGTATACATGAAAGATACTAGGCCTTTCTCTAGAACGTAATTCTTGCAAATCATCTTTTATACGAATAGCCCACTGTTGAGGTGTTTCATGAGGTCTAATAATAGCTAAATCATCGTATTTTTTTTCTAGTTTGTATATATTTTTAATACGATTATAGTTATAACTATTACCTTTTGCTAAATCCTTTATTATATGACCCAAATTATATTCTGGATAGAGGTTAACAGGTTTGGGTACAGATTTATTATAAACCTCATCAATAATGATTGTAATTGGATTGGTCATATTTATTAACAAATCAGTGTTTTAACAATTTATAGCGTTTTTTGCAATTTATAGCATTTTTAGCAATTCTTAATCAACATATATTAAGGAATATCATGATTCAAATTTGTATTCAAAAACGCGCCTTCTCGTGATAAATCACTCGAAGTCACTCAGATAAATGAATATGTTTGACTATCTATGACTTCGAGTGATGAAATCGGAGAAGGCATCGAGCAAGTTCGAAAAAAGAAAAAAAGTAATCAATTATATTGGAATGCATATAGTGATCACCTACTCTCTGGCTTCGAGCAAGAATTGCGAAAAGGCAGGATTTTTATTTCACATCGACACTTTTTTTACCTAATATATTACTCAATTGTGATCTCAAGAATAGCATTAGGAAAACGGTGGAGCCATCATTGAAATTATAAATTAGCTAGGGTATTTTTTTCTTTTCGCTTTTGCCTCATCTCTATTTCCTTCTGCAAGTTCAATGGAGTGTCAAATCTTAGCTGAATTGCCAATAGATTATCTTCAGGTCTATCTAAATCAAATACAATAAATTCTTTCTTATGTAAATAATTATTAATAACCATTGATGCATTTTTAATATCATCTGTATATCGTCTAACAATCTTTGCAACATTTTGATAACTACTGCCCCTACCAAATAATACTAAGTAAGTAAGATTTTCACGAATAAATGTAGAAACTTTGTGATATTTCTGTATTATGTATATACATGAAATATTTCAATGACGTCCATTTCCAAAAAATTGGCCAATTCTATTTTGTATATTTTCAGAAGCTAAGCATAAATCCTCAAAAATAATTAGTGTACTTCTTTCTAGTGAGAATGATTCTACTTTAGATAATTTTTCAGAAGAAATATATTTAAACCGTATATTTTCATAAAAAGACTCATGAGGGTTTCCTGAAATTACTCCATACAAATATCTAACATATGCCTACTTTGGCTCATTAGGATGGTAACCACAAACTATCAAATCATCACACTATATATATCTGGATCCTCCTTTTTTACCCTTGTGTATATGTTCACCTTTATCTCCAGAAACAAGGTTTACAGCTAAATTCGACTTACCTGTACCACTACTTTCTGTTATTAACATTCTGAATGCCCATTCTGGTGAACATTCATGGCCCTTACAACGTGATGATGCTTGCTTCGTGACCTCATCCATATCCATAAAGTAAAGTTTCATAGGGGGTAGTTCTGCCTTTTGATTCTTCTGCATGATGGGTTGAGAATCCATAACTTTGATTTCTATAAACTGGATAAAAAATTTCTTTCTTTTTGATTGAGCGAAAAATTTGCCTATATATATACCATATAATTAATATTACTACTAAGGCTAAAATAATAAGCTTGAATATAGGCAGAATTTTATACTAATCATTAAGGAAAGCATTGCTGACTCCTAACATAGCAATAGATAAGGCTGGAATTCTATCGAGTTTTTCTTTCTGCTTATTGCAGGCGTGGTCTATCAGGGGCTCCACCACATCTTTTACTTTGCTTTCATCGGGTTCAAGCTCTGAGTAGTGTGAAGAAAAAGAGGGGCGCCTCCAATTACTTTATTAGTCTCACTGGATGCTTTCGAAACCTGCTCTGCTAAATGGGTATTAGTCTCTTGAAGGAGGGACTTAGCTGAGTTTGGATCCTCTTTAGCTCCACCTATTATGTTCGATTCGTGAGATAACTGAGATATTTGTTGTTCTAACTAATCTTCCAATTCCCTCACTCTAGATCTGAGACAGCTAATTAACCCATAACTACATAATACTTTTCCTGCTACTTTCTCTAGTTCGTTTAGTTTAGTTCCAAGAGAGGTGATTTCAGAATCCTTACACCCCACCTCGGCTTCCAATTCATGTTTCTTTGAATTTAAATCATCTCTTTCTTGCTCCAATATATGATTAAAGGAATTTAATTCACTTATTTTATCCCTAAAAGAAGTGGTATCTGAATTATGAGATATGCGTTCTAGTTCTATCTCAGATTTCAATTCATCTACTTCGGCTTTCAGTTCATCTATTTCACCTTTAAGATAAAAAATCTCGCCCTTGTTAAGAGATGAGGCTTTTTGGGTAAAAGTTGCTTTTCTCTTTAGTGTTTTAATCTCAGATTTGAGCGATTGGATTTCAGCAGAATAATTAGCTCGCTCTGCTTTACGTTCAGTATGGGATGACTGTTCAGAAGATCTAAGCCTAGTATTGGACGTATTTAGCTGGTTAATCCTTTTTCTAGTATCAGCTTGAACCAGCTCAAGATCCTTTTTTTGCTTTAAATATACATCCTGCAGGTCTTTATATTTATTAGCAATATCAAAAGCAGTTTTGATACTACCAAGCAATGCTTACTTAAGCTCTGATTCATGGATGCTACCAAGCCGATGACCTGGCCCCTCCAGAACCCTTCTATTCTCGACATCTCTTAAGGTATACACATTGGACATAGTTTTTTTTCAGCTTAGTCATTAGTATATAAAAAAAATTATGAGCGAAATTCTTTATTGAAACAGCTAAAAATAAATTAAATAGCGGATAACTAATATTAATAATACCTATAAATTACAAACTACCGATTATCACATATATAGTAGAACTATGACTAGATATTTAAGATCTGATGCATCACTGTTTTCTCCTGAGGATTATTCTTATATTATGCAGTGTCGTAATATAAAACTGAGGTATAAAATTTTAAATGAGTTGATGAGTAAGTATAAAATATCATTAAAGTGTATTTATCAAATACAGAGAGGACAGGAACATCCTATTAACCCTACACAAAATACATTTTCTTTGAATCAGACACAAATAACTGAAAATTCAACAGTAAGAAAAAAGAATCTTATAACTGAAACCCTTATTAATTTAAGTACTGATTTGCCAATAGATAACACAGTGCTCAATAAAGATGAGAAATCGTCTGATACAATACCTCTATATTCTCAGATTAAATCTCACAATATCTAGCTTTCTATTGAATCGTAAGATATGGTAAGTTTTTATTGCATTGCTTGTGGTCATACCAATCGAATTTTAACTGAAAATATTAATCAAATACTAATCAAAAAGAATAGTGAACCAAATAAGAATTAGATATTAATTGATATATCTAAATCGAATTTTTACTGAAATAGAATTGGATGTTAACCGAATGGTTCAGAAACACCAAAATAGGATTAGATATTAACCAAATGGTTCAGAAACACCGAACAGAGATTGGATATATATCAAAACAGTATTGATTTTTTTTTAAATTATTTTTTCGCAAGCTTAAAAAAAATATATATAGTAACCAATATTTTTAAGAATCTATTAACTATAAGTGGCTTCGAGCAAGTATTGCAAGAAGGCAGAAATTCAGAAAAAAAAGTTCGATATCTGCAATCTGATGCAACTCCTTTATCTGATGATAATATACAAGATATCATTAATGCTAGAAATTCGATAAAACATGCATCAGAAGCTATGGCAAGCAAATACAAAATATCAACAAGGCGTGTATATCAAATATGAAGAGGAAATTATCCACTAATAGATTTTAAAGAAGAGGCATTGCGATCAGCTACTACTGTAGCTAGCTTAAGTAAAGATTCCAATCATAATGCTAATAAATTCGATTCTGCCTTCACAATACTGGAAAACAAAATACATGATACTAAAATTAGCAAATCTACTGATTCAGCTTCAGAAAAGAATGTTGTTTCAGATAGTAAAGTAAAAAAGACTGGAGGAAGAAAATTGAGAACCAAACTGTTCACGTTTCCGATTCTATTTCATCTACCGAATCTTCTGAAGATGTCTTGGATTTGTATAAGAGAACTAGTTCTGAAATAGAGAAAATTAGAGCATCTGGTCGTGCTCTTGTTTTTAAATAATTATTCAACCTTATTTGGTCCTAAAGAAATCTTTTCATATCAGTCAAGCAAATTTATAGTATCCTATGATTTCCAAATTCAATTGAATGCTAGAAAATAATGCTTTTTCGAGCTCTTTCATACGAATTGTCATATCTCCATAATCCATACAATTTACACACTTTTTTTTAAATTATCCTCACTAGTCAGGCTAGAGAAATCGATAGATACTTGGGCTGAATCATGTGAACCCTCTAGGACCCGCTCTTCTTTTGGTGGATCCTTAGCTACTGGGGCCTTGCTATATGTTGGAATAACATAGGTCTTCCCATGTAACTTTATGCAGAGCTAGTTTTTATTTGGCTCAGAAACACCTTGGAGTTTTAGAATATTTGACATACCTAAAAATAGCATTGGTTTAGGTTCGCCATTATCTATATGTACAAAATTTCCAATGACTGTGACTGTCTCACCCTCTTTGTCCTTCATAGTAACTAGCACATCTGTGTACCATCCTAATGAATCAGTGATATGCCTAGAATTGCTCTTTATAGCAAAATCAGATGGCTTATCAGCTTTCCATCCAAGTATCTTAATTGCTGGGTCATTTATACCACCAAATTCACTTCCAAGATCCAAAAAAGATTCAGAAATCACTAAATCATTTATATTTACATTCAGATATTGTAGAGAAGAAAACTACTCATCTGATTCTTTTTCCTGAGCCTTTCGGAACAAGCACATTTTACGTATTGCCGGTGAAAGTTTTGGCAACAGCTCATCATACGTTTCGGGCTGACTGGATTCTGTTAGTATCTGTTTTTTTTTACTGCCGAATCATACCTGGTCCATCTATTATTTTCTTCATCATAACTATCTTTTTCATTATCCAAACCTGAAGGTGTGTTTTGGAAATTTATAGGTATAAGCGGCTTAAAATAAGTAGACCGATTGAAATTAGATCGTGCTATCTGTCTATTGGGACAACTACCTTTGCTATGGCCTGTCTCTCCGCAAATATCACATTTTCGTATGTATGCCTTTCTCTGAAATTGATCAGCTAACTGGTTTACAGTATCCTGAGTTTCATTAATCCCTTCTTCCAATCTATCAATCCTAGTAGAGACATTGCTTTGCTGTGGACGAGGTCTTTGAAAAGGCTTTATAGGATAATCCGAGTCTAATTCTTTTTGGCTAAAGATACCTATATCTTTTAAGAATTTTGTTATATAATAATCTTTCATGCCTTCTTCTGTATTTAGTGAAGATGGGGGCCCTCTTGGCTATCTAACTGGTTCGACAGTTTGTGGAGCCGGTGCCTGTACTTTTTGAGCAACTATTTGCTGGGCCATCTGTGCTTGAAAATCAGCTTTCTGCTTTTCTAATAAAGACTGGAATTCAGTTTTTTGCTATGCTAATGCATCTTGATATGATTTTTGTATATCTGCCATCTGTTAAGAAGTTGAAATAGGTGAAGGGTCATATATTTCTCGAGATGCTTATTGAGATACTAGCGGATCAGGTATTCTATCTCTTTTATGTCTAGCAATTCGTCGTAACTCTATCTCATAAAGCTTTTTAGCTAATTTATCTAATGGCAAATGTTTACTGATATACTTAGCTTTTTCAAGCTATAGAATAGAAAGAGCATCCAAGAACTTATTACGTAATTCTTCAGGTCTATAGTTAGCTCGTCTACCTATTCGTAACAATTTTCTATATAATTCATCTATAGTCATATTTCCTTTTCTAATTGTTCTATATTGCAAATCCCGAAGCTCCTCTTCCACTGTAGGAAAATGTGTTTTTAGCCACCATATGGCTTGATCGAAACAAATGCTAGCTACAACAACTGTAGTATCATTATTAGCATTTGGTGCATTAATAGCAATATTAGTAGGATGACCATCTGCTATGTACCAATCTTTGTCCCAAGGACCCTCTATAGCTCTTAATTTGACTATTGCATTACCAGGTTGGCCGAGTGCCTCATTCAATGCTTGATTTCCTATTTGAACTACTGTTCTCCTGTTTACAGCTACTAAGTTAGCCTGCCCTGTATTATCAAGTAAGTTTGCTAATTCCCAATTCTGTTTTGTAGTAATCTCTTCATCAAACCATTCTAAAGCTCTTCCTTTCATACATTCTCTTAAATATCCTATAGCTACTTCTCTTCCTATTGGTGGACCTCCTGCATTGTCTGCTGGATCTACACCTTGGTTTTGCAAGTATAATCTAAGTTTTGCAAGGAAATCTGGTATATCTTCACCCCAGTCAAAAAATGGTTGTGGTATTTCTGCTATTCTTATTCGTTGTATATTAGGTGGGTTATTTTGTAGCGCAAAAATTTGTTGATTTAAAATTAAATTATTCTGGTGCTCCGCATGAGTCTTATTTTTCCATTTCTCATATCGCTCATAGAGTCTGTCTCTATTATATTCTAACAAACCTCTATCAGCTCTGCATCGTTGTAGGTGGTGGGCATTTCGTTGATATAAGATTTGTAAGACAAATTTTTCCTGTAGTAATATACAAATATGGGTTCACTTTCCTGTTATATTGTCTAACATTCTGTTTACTTGATTCTGAGCATTAGTCCACAACTGATCACGCTCCTGCATCGCTTGATCATGCTCCTGCCTGTATATATCACAATTCCATCATTCGTTTACTAAATCCTGTTGCAGGTTAGCATATTTTCGTCAGATTGATCTTGTTGTCCTTTTAATTTGATTTTTTAAAATAGTTAGACATATTGTTGTATCATCTAGAGAGCGGTCTATAGCATTGGCTAATTCAGCTATTGTATTCATATCTAAATTTTGATCAAAATTATAAATATCTAAAGAATACTCATCAGAGTTGAATTCATTTTTGTTAAAGTTCTGTGCTTCTGCATTTTGCAAAGCCTCTCTGGTATTTATAAGCTCCAATCTATCTTTATATCTTAATAAGGATAATGCAAAATTTTGACAAAGCAGGTCTGTAATACGGCTTTTTTGTTGAGTTATTTTGTTAATCCTATTCATTTGATTAGTTCTTACCATATTTATTTCTCGTTTAAGCTGTTTATTCTCATCTACTAATCTGGTTGTATAATCTTGTGTTTTGGGTGTATTTCTAGCTGATTTTGATATTTCTTATATTCAGGTTTTTAATTTCGTTTCACGTTCATCGAATTCTAATATTAACTTGTCCTTATTTGAAATTTCTTTGTCTTTCTTTTTATTTTCTTCCTCGAGTTGGTGAACTATTCTTTTTAGTTTTGAGATTTCTTTTTTTAACTCCTCTTTCTCTTCTGCAGAAACTTCGATTGTGTTATTTAACTCTTCTTCAAGAAATCTTATTCTTTCTTCCCGTATACCAATAACTCTTTCTAAGATATATAATCATTGTTCGAAATTCCTATTTGATTCTGCTAATTGGGATACTACCTCATAGAGTTCTTAATTACTTTGTTGCAATTCCTCCATGCTTTTTTATTTACTATATTGATTGAGAAATTGCTAAATCCATAAAAGAGAATTAGTATGGAAGAACCAGTTATTTATATCGATCCTCAGAGAGTATGGGAGCTAGATCAGGTTATTGCAAAACAAAAACCTACAATTTTTATTGATTCTCAGAAAGCTCATGATCTAGACCAACATCTTGCCTTACAGAAGCTATATTATCACCCTAAGGGCTTTTATCAAAATACAAAAGGATTATGAAATATATGTAATAAAACTGGTTACACCTTTTCATTTACTAATATAAAAAAATGGCTTGATAGTCAGGCGATATATCAAATTTTTCAGCCTTCACTGAGACAAATACCTTATGCTAGTTACTCTAAAATCATGAAGCCAAATACCATACACCAGTATGATCTGATCGAAATATCATATAATGTAGATACAAATTCACTAGATAATGACTTAATATTTTACTATGTATTATTAGTTATAGACTGTGTGACTAGATATAAAGATTTCATTTTTTTAACGTCAAAAAGTAGTGAAGAAGTTGCGGAAGCATTTAAGAGTAAATATAATAGCCCTGACAACCCTCTTAACTAGCCTTGGCTATTGCAATATGATGAAGATCATGAGTTTATAGAAAGTGTAATATTGATAATGGATGAATATAATATTAATATCTGAAGAATTAAGGCACATTTTAGACACACAAGTATGGCAATGGTTGATCATTATGCCAGATTATTCGAATTAAGAGTTTTTAAAAACCAGTATGCAATAGAGTTTCTCTTACCTACCGGTGAACACTATAGAGAATGTGAACGGTTTGCATGAAAGATTGTTAACAATATGAATGATACTCTAACCCAATTAATTGAATTGAGTTCTAATAATGCCATGAAACTTGAACGGATATATTCCAAGCTATTGGTAAAATATAATCATCCAATAGGCATTGATGAACCACAACTACCAAAGAATACTACTGTTTGATTTCTGCTTGCTCCTGGAGAGTGGAAAAATGATCCTTTTGAGCGATGTAGAATAACAGATCCTATATAGTCACCTAGCCTCCATAAAATTCGAAGAATTGTTGTTGGAAAGAATCCCCCGATGCCTATTTTATATTATTTAGATAATTCGGGACCTCAACGTCCTTTTGTGAGAGAACAATTAATGCATATTAAAGAAGAGCCTATGCTTCCTCCTAGATGGTTCTTATTGGAAGGAAACCGAATGCATACAAGGCGCTTCTTATAAAAGTTTCTAAATCAATGGCGCAATAGAGAATTGTGATAAGGATTACTCTTTCTCTATAATATAGAGCCCTCTTTTTCCAGTCATGCCAAATTTGTGTATCTAGATTTATCTGTCCTTGTGAATGAAAAAAAGGCACAATTTGGTAATGTTGATTACTACTATATTTGAAGGCCAAACCTAACTCTTCATTGTATCCATCCAGATGTAACCCTTCCAAGAACTTAGGTTTTTGGAGTGGGAATTTTTTATGCAATAAATCTTCAAATATATAGCAGCATGTTCTTTTCGGTACATTAGGGCAAATATTACACCATCGGTAATTCTGTTTCATATTTTTATATGATGCCTCCCATTGATGACCCTTTTTACATGCTCATAAATATGTATTAGAATTAGTATTAACTTTCATTAAGCATCTTCCTTTTCACCTTTGGGCATATACTAAGGCTTTAGTATCAATTCTGTTATAATTTTGCATTTTATTCACTAATCTTTTTTTTTTAATATAAATAAGAAAAAAGATACTGTCTTGCGTCGATGGATCAGAAGACCAGGCCGGAAGAGGTTACCTCGTGACCAGATCGAATATAGAAATTGAAGTTAGCTAGTATTATTGTACAAGAAAAAATAAATAAATAATATTATTGTAAGTCTTCTTAAATCTTCACGAGAAATTTTATATTCATCTAAGGAAGGGTGTTTGGAATTCATGGGATCAGGTTTTTGCCTCGCGTCGATATCCAGAACTAGGCAAAGAGGCAGACTCCCATCGATGCATTCATGAGTATCGGGTATCCCATAAACTTCGGATGGATGATTAATAACTATAAAACCCTTTCCTAATACTCGGATTATATATTTTAAATAAATCTTCTTGGGATGATAGGCATCTAGAAGAGTGATATTATCTTTACTAATAGACAAATATTTGAAATACATATGATCATGATAGCCAGGCTCATAGTCAAGGTCTGCTAAACCAGAAAAGAGCCTAATTGTTTCATTTATTTCACTGGGGTCAGGCCCAGATTTTTTTTGCACAAGCATGATAATATATATAGAAGAAACAAATATAAATCTACATAAAAATTCCAAATATTTAAAATAAAAAATCATGTTTGCTAGCAAACTATTGTGGCAAAAGTGATCGATGTGGTAGTACCCAAAAGTGGTACCCAAAAGTGATCGATGTGGTAGTACCCAAAAGTGGTATTCAAAAGTGATCGATATGGTAGTATCCAAAGGTAGAATTATATATAGTAAAAGAAATAAGAAATTATGCTTTTGGGTACTACCGCCGATAGGTAAGAAAGAGAGCAGAAAGATAGAAAGACTTAGGAGAATACAAGAAAAAAAAGGTATGAAAACAGTATAATCTGAACTAATTCGGCACTATGTGTCTTATTTTGGCAATCACATCATGGTGAAATGGTATTCAAGATGGTATCCAAGGCGAAGCAAATAACCCATTGAATAGAAAAACAGGATATGGGAATAGCTAAACCTCTTTAGAGTAAGAGGACTTTATACTTACTCGAAAGAGAATGCTTTTTATGCACATAAATTATCTACTGCGCCATGCTCAGAAGAATACAAGAAAAAAGGATATGAAAGCAGTAAAGCCTGAACCAATTCGACACTATATGTCTCAACTTTGGCAATTCAAAGTAATCAATGTGATATTAATCGATGCAGTAATATTCTAAAGTATTCTAGAGTAACAACTATATGAGAAAGAGTTCTAAGAACGTGAGAATGTAAAATAAGATATATATTCAGTAGTATAGCAAAGCAGAATTATATATAGGAAAGAAATAAGAAAATATGCTTTGCTATACTACTAGCGATAGGCAGGAAAGAGGTCAGGAAGGCAGAAAAGTTCAGAAGAATATATGAAAAAAAGTATAAATGCAATATAGCCTGAACTAATTCAGCACTTCATGTCTTATCCTTGGCAATCAAAATGGTCATGAACAGGATTGCAAGAATGGCACAACATCAGTATTTCATGCCTCACCGGCAATCAAAAAGTAAGTGAATAGATTGCAACACATCTTTAGCAAATAGATGGATTGCAAATTCAGCACTTCATGCCTTATCTGGCAATTAAATGGGCCGGCCATAATAATGTCTATCACACCTCTGATTCTCTAACCAACTGACCACTAAACCAGGCCCTCGAAAGTTACTTGAAAGTAATGGAAAAGTGACGGGAAAGTGCCTGGAACTGGTGAGAAACTGAACACGTGATTGGTGCAATAAATTTTGTTAATTTTGGCCAGCACTAAATTCATATTTTTTTCCAAAACTTTGAGACACAATAACTTGGCATCTAAATATTAAAAACCAACCAACCCGACTCCAAACCAGCACACAGGGCCAATATCAAAAACTAACCAATTCAACCTCCAAAAGGCCACAAAGCATTAAAAATACCAAAGTAGACAGCACTATAACCATAAGTAAGTAGTATTATAACCATAAGTAGGTAGTATTATAACTATAAGTAGGTAGCATTATAATATAAGTAGAGCAGTCTTATAAGACTGCTCTACTCATGTTGATAGTGATATTAACAAGGGATTATATTAAAAGTTAATATATATGAAAAAGTTTTAATATATAAAAATTAGTAAAAATTCATCTTATAGCTTAGGTTAATATTAATGAAGTTGATATTAATAAGGGTAGACTGAATTAGTAAAATAAACTTGTTTGTAATTGTCAGTGAGTTGATCAGATCCCTTTTATATCTATAAAGGCATGTCTGGGGGTATAGAGAGACATGCCCCAAAAATTTTTAATGCCTCCAACTCTACTTTAACCCCAAATATCTTGGAATCCACCAGGCCGATTTTAATAATCTAACCACTATTAAAACCAGAAAAATCTCCTCTACAACTTTTCTTAGAGCTGAAAGAAAGGTTTACTTATTAGTTTTAGGGTTAGAGTAATATTAAAATTTAAAACTAAAGTTAGGGTTATGAGTATTTTTATATTATTATCTAAAAATAGAAAATCTTGTATAACCATGGTGGAAATAGCAAATACCATGGTGGAAATAGCAATTCCCTTTTGATAATTCTAAATTTTTTATAAACTTTGAGTGATGATACATCTCAATAACTACATATTTAAAATCGATATAATTTTTTTTTATTTTAATTTTATTGATTCATCTAATTGAAATAAAAAAAATTCATTGATTTTGGAGGAGTAGTTATCGAGATATCATCACCCAAAGTTTGTAAAATACTTGGCTTCGGTCTTTATTTTGATAATATCTCGACATATTTAAGATCGTTAAAATTTTTTTTATTTTAATTCAACGGATTTATAGAATTTAAATAAAAAAAAATTTCATCGATTTTGGTTATTGAGATATTATTGCTCGAAGTTTGAAAAAAACGGCCAGTGTTTATTTTGATAATTGTCTAAATTTCTTATGAACTTTGAGCGATAATATCTCGATCATTAGATATCTAAAATCGGTATATTTTTTTTTACTTTAATTCTGTTGATTCATAGAATTAAAATAAAAAAAAATATCATTGATTTTGGATGAGAAGTTATTGATATCATCGCTCAAAGTTTGGAAAAAGCTAGGCTGCGGTCTTTATTTTGATAATTGTCTAAATTTCTTATGAACTTTGAGCGATAATATCTCGATAATTAGATATCTAAAATCAATATAATTTTTTTTATTTTGATTTTGTTGATTCATAGAATTAAAATATAAAAATTTCATTGAGTTTATATGAGTAGTTATTGAGATATCATCGCTCAAAGTTTGGAAAAAACTAGGCTGCGGTCTTTATTTTGATAATCGTCTAAATTTCTTATGATCTGAGTGATAATATCTCGATAACTATATGGGATCTTTGCTAGGATTTTTTTTTTCTAAAAATAGATTTATTATGTTTTTCTTAATAAAAATCTCGTGTAACAATGGCTCGTAGGGTCATTTTTCTAGCAAAGATCCCATATATTCAAAATAATATAATTTTTTTATTTTAATTCTATAGCATTATTGGTTTAAAACAGAATAAAAAAGAAAAAAAAAAATCCGTACAAATATGATCAAATTTGGTAAATTGGATATCTTAACTGTTCGAATCAAATCGAATATTGTTCTTTTTTTAAATCAAGGCAAATATATTTATATATAGTGCATATATCAGTATATAACATTTATAGCGTTTATGACATCATAAAAACGTGATCAAATATGGATCTACGAAAACGTGTATCCAAGCCAATCACGTATGATTACGTGCTCATCTTATTACAGCCTTTTCAGCTTTTTTCAACACAGCCAGTGAATGCATGGTAAAATTTTAAGAATTATATTATATTTTAATGACCTTTATTAGTTAAGAAGAAGGCATTGATCGCCGGTTAGCTTTAATTTTGATCGGTGATCGAAAGTACCTAATTATTGGATCAATCAAGCAGATAACTTTGTTTTAGTGTAACGTTGCCATGAATAAATTTAGTGCACCTTAAATCATTCCATTCTTTATACAAATCACATTTTGTTTTTCATTCCTTTATATTTATTTATTTATTATTTTATTTTTTTTTACGTAAAAAAAAAAAAAAAAAAAAACATGGATAGTTGGTATGAAGTGCTCACAGCATGTGATCCAAGCCTAAATGTTGTTCAATCCATAACGGCCATCGCTTTCGATCCATATCAAGAACTTTTATGGACTGGAAATGACAAAGTAATTGTTGATTTTCAAAATTAAGGTTTTTTTTTCTTTACAATGAATCAATCTAACATTATATTATTTAAGAATATAAAAATGTTAATAAATACTTAAATAATAATCACAAGGGTCGAGTGATTTCTCATTTTGGTGATAACTTACAACGATATACAAGTTTTCGATCGCATTTATCTCAAGTTCGCCAGTTATTAGTCAGTGATAGTGGTGTAATATCATTAAGTCCAGATTCTATCAGAATGACCAATCGAAGAGGTTTGGTCAGGTGGACTATGAGGTGTGACTACTCTGCTTGAACTTCATTCAATGCGCTTGTTATAAATATCGCTTATTCGTTTCTCCGATATTTTCTGGATCAAAATTATAAAGCAATGAAGATACTACTAACTTACATTGTATGGCTTATACTACTATTCCGAATTCGGAGATTTTGGCTGCTGGAAAACAACATAATATGCTTGTTATCAATGTTGCAAGAGGCTCCGTAGTTAAAAAGGTTATTAATAAATATTATAAATATTGTTAAACTCTTTTATTTTCAAACGAGACCTTTCTGATCTCTGGACTTTGTGCGAATCAGGTCGAATCAGATAATGAAATTGCAGTTATGCGAAAATCAAGACTTGTCTGTTGTGGTGCAACTTCTGGTGAAGTGATTTTGAGAGATCCGAACACTTTCAGAGTTGAACATAGAATACGTGCACACACTGGAACTATATCTGATATAGATACTAGTGGAAATTTGCTACTAACTTGTGGATTTTCTGTCAGGTTTGCTACGTCTCTACAATAGTTTATGAGTTATTTACATTTTATTATTAATTTTATTATTAATTTTATTATTAATTTTTATTATCAATTTTATTATCAATTTTATTATTAATTTTATTATTAATTTTATTATTAATTTTATTATTAATTTTATTATTAATTTTATTATTAATTTTATTATTAATTT